CTCCTTCCTCCTTTCAGGCCCCTCCCCACATCCTGGCTGGCCTTCATCTTTTCAGGACTGGAGGACTGATGCCCATCTCCACCCCCACCTCCAGTTTTCCTTCTGGGACAGTCAGTGTTCTTCAATCTAGTGTCCCTTTGTCTGTTGGTCTTCCTTGCTGCTAGGATGCCACTGAGCTGGCTGGGACTGAACTGGGAAGAAGGCAGAGGCCACTGAAGGAGGACAGATTCCTCTCCGTGAGCCCTCCTCATCTGGAACTGGAAATGGACATCCACGCTTGCACACACACTTTCCCCAACATCCCCCACCCCATGGAAACCCAAAGGAAGACCATCACCATGGCAACCGCCGGCTACCGAAGCTGCTGCATCACTGGTCCCTAGGGAAGGGGTGCTGCCATATGGGCAGAAGATGGGGGAGGAGCAGAGGGATGTCCTTTCCCACACTTGATGACCCCCACAAAAAAGGCCTGGGGTGGAAAGGGAGCAGGCTGGAGAGGGGCACAGACCATAGACCAGCGGTCTCCCTGCCTCTGCATCCAAGTGCAAATGGTATCCTCTCTCCCTATTGCCAGCTATGTGACCTGTGACCTTGGCCTTCCTCCAGTTGAGGAGCACTAGCCCTATAAATAAAACCAAGAATACTTTATGTGCCATAGAAAGTGGCTTTGAAGACAAGAATGGTGTGTGTGTGTGTGTGTGTGTGTGTGTGTGTGTGTGTCCAAATATAAAAGGACTTTGAAGAGAGGGTCTCAGAAGCCCATGAAAGCAGGTCTCATTATCATCCATCTGGCCTTCCAGAAGACTATCTAGCCAGCCTGCTGGAAGGGGATACTATCCATCCTCTATCATCCTAAAGGAGGATGTCACTCTCCACCATGGCCTTCTTGACCTGGTGCCCTGGCTCCTCTAGTCAGCTACTCCTGCACTTTCCTACAGCCACGGTGATGTCAGATGAGGGTATCGAGGCACAGAGCCTACCAAGACCTGTCCAAACCAGCATGAAGCATCAGCCAATCCTGTCTTCTCCTTAACTCAACCCTGGGTTCAAACCCCAGGAGTTTTCTCCTTAGCAACATGAGCTTGGGCAAATAACCAGATGCCCTCAGCTCTCATTTCTCCTTCTGCAAAGCGGAATACCACGGACATCTTAAGACTGCTGTGAGGATTAAACAAGATAAAACATATAACATGCTTCACTCCCGATGAGCTCTCAATACATTTGAGTTCTTTTTATTAAGGTGCAGTCGGTTCCCAAAAACACAGGTTTCAGATTTTTCAGGCTGCATGAACACCAACTCCCCCTCCTCCCCTGCATGGTGGTCTCTGCATCTTTGGAAGGTTCTACAGGGCTGTCCCAGTGTCCCTGGGAGAACTCTAAGGGCAGGTACAAATCAAGAAAACCTGATGAAACCGCCATGAGAAGAGATCTGGAGCAGGATGGTGCTCCCACCCCTGCAGAAATTGCTGAACCAGAAAGGACTTGTGGGTGGGGCTAGGTTGCCAGGGCTGAGTCATAGCTGGTCCCCATTTCCCTGGGCCCCACATGGCCCTCTGAGGCCTTCACTTGGCTGCTTTTGGCGAGGGAGAAAGAGCACCTGCTCAGTCTTTGTTCCTCTCTCTTCCCCATACCCTCTCCCCATTCTTTCATCTCTAAGTCCTGGCTCCTTGGCTGTCTCCCTCACTCCCTTTCTCTCGCCTTCCTTTTTTTTCTCACATCCCCCCGCCCCCCCCCACCCCATTCCCTTGAAGCTGACTTCTTGCTTTCTCATCCTTTCTTCTCAGAGCTCACTATCACACTTGGCTGCCTTCCCGCCTTCTTTCCCTCCCCTCCTCTATGTCCTTCCCCCTTCTTCTCCATTTCCTCCCTCCTCCTTCCCTCCTATTTCTCCTTCCTCTTTTCCATCTCCCCCACCTGTTCACTCTCTCCTTTCCTCTCTCTTTCTCTAGCCTCTTCACTTATAGGAGACACTTCAAGTCCCCGAACACACAAAACCAGGTCAAGATCATCCATCAAGTCCTTATCAACCCTGGTCAGGGAGGCTGGGGTCTAGAGAACAAGGTCAGAGTCTAGTCAGTCCTGATCAGCACCTGGAAAGCTCTCCCCAACTCCCCTGGGGATTATTGTGCTGGGTTACCTGCTTCCCACAAACACCCTCTTAGTTGCCAGCTCCTGCTGCCTGGGCTCCTAGGAAACCAGGTAATGGCTGAGTCCCTGACCTTCCCTGCTCACTCTGCCCTGGTGCAGGGAATCAAGATGAGAAAGCAAGAAAGAAATCAGAAGCAATAATAACCTGCTTTGAACTGGAAGGAAAATGACTGGGGGAGGGATTGTATGAAGTACACATTGTACCAGAAAAAATCATGGCTTTGAAACCAGACAGACTGAGTTTGAATCTTGACCCTGTGTTTATAGCCAATGACCTTGGCAAGGCTGTATGCTCGCTGCACCTCAGTGTCCACCTCTGTAAAATGGAGGTATAAAACATGCACCAGCTGATGCACGGATGACATGTGCAGGAATTTCAGGTGCTCAGGGTTCTTGAGCCTGCTCTGAGAATGAAAGCACAGACAGACTCTAATAGCAGAGGTCGGAAAGATTTTATTTGTAGCGAATTTATTTGTAGAAAAGAGAAGAGAAAGACTGCATATTGGGGAATGCAGGGGGACCCAGAAACCAGTGATCCCATGGGTCTGGGTGGGGAGTGGGATTTTTTTTTGTATTGCCTGAGGGCGGAGGTGCCTTTCAGATGCAGACGGGCGTTCCCTAGGGAGGAGAGGTGTCTCCTTGACCACTTATCACCTTTTGGGACCTCCTGCAGTCTGTCCTTCACACCCATGCAAGGCAATGGTGAAGATGAAATACATGAAGGCATGAGAGGTTCTTGGCACATGGTAGCTTCTCCCAGCACCAGCTCTTCCCTGGGGAAAGGAAGGCTTCTTAGAGGACATGGGGCGTCCTCAGAGAGTGGAAGAATGGATGATAATGTAATAATAATCCGCCTCCTCCTACTTTTGTTGACACCAGGCTAAACTCAGCACTTCGAATATGTTGTCCCATCTAATCCCAGGCAACTCTAGGTGGCAGGTTTTTTCCCTACCTCAGTCCTTTTTCGTGGAAGAAGCACTTGAGGTTCAGAAAGGCTAGACAATTTGCCCCAAGTCTCATGGCAAAGTGGAGAAGCAACATTCTTTATTCCTCTGCTGTCACTTGGGGTGACACTTGGGGTGGGGGTCAGGAACATAGGCATAACCCAGGAGCAGCTCCTAAACCAGGCTTGTGCATGCTGGGGACAGTGAGAGCCTGGGGGATGGGGAGATGGGGAGTGATGGGGAGTTGTCCTGAGGCCATGGCAAACTTGGCTCTCATCTCCCGTGAGCCTCAGCCCCTGACCACCCAGCCAGAATTCTAGCTGTGGAACCACTAGGGTGGAGTCTGGTTTCAGTCTCTTGGAGCCCCAATCCTTTCTACCCCATCCCCCACCTACCCGTAATCCAGATAATCCCAGAGTTTCCGTCCCTCTGGTTTTTTGCCACCCTGTGTTATGTAACAGGGATAATCACTCCTTCTCTGAGGGGCCAGGCCAGGCCTTTGAGGTTATTGCCTGAGATTACAAAAGAGGCTGGGGAGAGAGGCCTGGGGCAGTGGGACCATTGGAGGCTGTATCTTGTGGGACAGAAGGGTGGTGAGATCCACCCCCCAAAACAGTTTCCGGTGGAGATAGGTGAGCTGGAAGGATTTAACAGGTGTAGCTGCCCTCCTCCCTAGCCCGGCCCCCACAACTAGCCATCTCAGATTACACCAGGCATTGCTTTCAAATGGAACTCCTCAGTTTCCATGGCAACTCAACCACGTGGTTGCTGCTTTACAAGCTGAGAGGGGGGTGGGGGTGGCGAAGGGCAGTGACTAGAGGCGCAGAGCTCCTAGGAGGTGAGGTCTGTGTAATGCTGCCCCTGTCACCCCTCCTGTCTTTCACCTTCACCTACAGGCCTCCAGCAGAGGTCACACAGAGCCCTGAAGAAATGGAGCCAGAGCTCCAGGACAAAGAAGTAGCTAGGTCTCTTTTGGCTCCAAGATGTACCTCTGATCTGCAACAATGTGTGCCACTATCATGGGTCCTGGGCAAGGTCCCAGCAGGCATCTCTGAGCTCCTCCAAGGAAGGCCAGGGGAGGTCCTGGACAGGAAACACACTGTGGGCTGTATCCCATCTTCCTTCTTGGATGCGGAGGGAGGGCTGGGATTCTTGCTCACCCGCTTTCTAGCTCTGTGACCTCAGACAAGGGGCCTAACCTCTCAGTATTGCATCCTCATCTTCGCAATGGGAAGAGGTACAAAAGAGAAGAAAACAAGTTGACATTTGGGAAAGAAAATAAACATGTGAAGGAGATAGAAGCAGAGATGCCCTGGTGAGACTTGAGGGCACTCAGCCCACCCTCCTGTCTGTTTAGGCCGTGCTGCACAGAACTCTGCCAGTCAGAAGCCCTCGTGCTGAAAAGATTTTTTTTAAGCCTTCACCTTTTTTTCCTAATTGATCTTGACTGATCTTCCCCAACTTGGCCAACACCAAGAGTCTCTCCTGACCACATCTTTAGTCTAAACCCAGTGTCCCATAAATGCTCTCTGCCACCCTGGGCTCCAGCTGATGTTTTAGGCCAGCCTCACCCTGGCCTCTGGCTTCTCTTCCTTCCCAGTGCTTACACGCTGGCTCACAAAGGATAAACCCCCACACAACCAGCGTGGTCCTTCCTTTCAAGGGTCCCTGGATTTCCCTGTGTTGGTTTTTCCTGTCCCAGGACCCCATGTGAGGCTCTACCCATCTGTCAATGGGGGTGGTGGTGGTGGGGTGATCTAAGGCCCCCCACAGATCTGAAACACTGACTCTGCAAATCTCACAGCTATAGAGGCCCTGGCCCACAGCCTCTCCCAGCCTCTTCTCTTTTGTGACCACACTCACAAGCAGTGCCCCTGAGTCCTACAGGGGTGGCTTTCATTATTTTTGGTTTAGTTTTATCAAAGAGTTTTTGTTTGTGTTTTTTTTTTTTTTTGTCAAAAATTGTGTCTCCCCTGAGACAGTGCAGCCTCTGAGCAGGCTCCCCTTGTTTCCATGGTGACAGCAGCTGGCTCACATGTGTGGTTGCTATGGAAACCAGGCTGGTTCTCCCCTCCTTCTCCTCTCTCACTTTTTCCTTCCTTCCTCAGCTACCTCCTCCTTCTTCACAACATTTGGGGTGCAAGGAAAGGGCTATTGGAGGTTCCAAATACCACGGGAGCAAGCCAGGTTCTGGCTGCTGGTTGGGTAGAAACCACGAGGCTAGATGTTTCTCTCAGCCCAGCAGGTGCTTCTGCAGGGCCCCTTCTTTCTAGCCACTGGGATAAGGACTTAATGATAGAAGATATGGGACACAAACAGCCTGGAGCCCCTAGACAAGGGCTCAAGCAAATCCTGCCTCTGTTGAGGATGGGGGCCAGGTCCTAGCTTAAAGCTGACCTGGATGTGAGCCTCCTTTCCCATGATGCACTGTACCTTTCCAACCAAAGCAGAAATGTGCACAAGAAGAAGTAGGATTCTCAAGAGAAAATCAATGGCAATAGAGATGGAGAGGGGAGAGCTGCATAGCCAGAAAGCTGTAGCTCAGTTGTCATAGGTGTTAGCAATTATGTAGACTTTTTCCCACTGACATGGAGGCACCAAAAGGGTAGAAACCCTGTCTTCTTGTCACAGATAAATCCTCAGCATCTGCCAGAAGAGTAAACAAGGAGAGAGAGAATAATAAACAATGCTGACAGTGATTGTTTTGGGGTGATGATTTTTTCGTTGCGGCACTGGGGCTTGAACCCAAGGTCTACACCTTGAGCCATGCCACCAGTCCTTTTTTGTGACGGGGTTTTTTCCAGATAGGAGCTCATGAACTATTTGCCTAGGCTGGCTTCGAACCTCGGTCCTCCTGATCTCTGCCTCCTGCGTAGCTAGGATTGCAGATGTGAGTCCCTGGTGCCTGGCTTGGGTGATGATTTTTAATGTAGCCCTTTTGTTTCTTTACTTCAGTGGATATGTATTAAATATATAAAAAGAACAAGCAGGACTGGAGGCATGGCTCAAACAGGAAAACAACTGTTTTGCAAGCTTGACGCTCTGGGTTCAAACCCCAGTCCCACCAAAAAAAAAAAAAGAAGAAGAAGAAGCAACATGTTCATTTGTTTGATCTTAAAGGAAAAGGGGAAGAGAAATTGGAAGTGGCCAAAGTCCAGAAAACCACCACCTCTTCTCATTAAATGCCAAAGCAGGTGGCATGATTCTTTGATCAGTCTGTCATGTCACATGCTGGGGTCCAGAGAGGTGAACTGACTTGCCCACTGTCACACAGCAGTTAGAATGAAAGAGGAGTCAAGGCTCTTAAATCAGAACACGAGAGAAATGCAGCACTCATCTCAAATAAGGGCAGACCAAGAGCAAGACCCTGGCATATGCCATACATTGATGTTGACAGTGGTGTTAGCAGGGCTCAAGAACTCAGACCAGCAGCCCCGGCAGGCTGCTCTCCTCCATGCTTCAGCCCAATGGCATCCTCTTCCCCCTTCCCCCACCAGTCATCCTGTCTTCCAGGCCTCAGATGAGAGTTTGACTCATTGTGAGAAAATGCAGTGGCCCACGATGCCTTTGGAGATGTCTGAAAGCTGCTATTGGGCAGACAGTGCCAAAGGGGAAAGTTCCAGCAGAGTCAACTGTGAGGTGGGGCCAGCAGAAGCACTCTCAAGGTCAAAGAAGACGTCACGCAGATCCTTGTCCTCAGCCAAGGGCAGCCTTCTCTGTTTCCTTCCCCCAGCTGCAGTCAACACAAAGGGAATGTACCTGGGCATCTGAGGAAATCAGAGCAGGTAAGAGCCAGGCCAAAGTCAAGCTTACTTGGTTGTGGGAGTGAAGGGTCCCACGAGGTCCTCCTAATGCTCCTATCAACCCTTCCCCCATCTGATGGACAGACTGACAGACTGCAGGGGAGGTAAGGGCTGGCCCTGGCTCACCCACCTCCAGCCAGTAAATCCTGTGAAACAGAGAGGGAGAGAAACACAGAGAAAAAGGGGAGAGGCCCAGGAGGGAAGGAGAAGACAAGGAAATCCAATAGTTCCTGGCCACTAGGCTGAAGGGTTTGCCTGGTTCCTCTGCATTCCTCAGCCTTGAGGCCACCTAACTAGACAATGATTGACTAAAGGTGCGGGATGAGGGACAGGGGAGGCCAGAGAGGGGCAGGGGGATCTAGGAGATTTGGGGATGGGGTGTTGCATTCTGTGCTTAGTAACAAAAATAAAGCTGAAAGGTAGGTTTGTATTTTTAAGGTCACAAAAACCTTCACAGTAAGAAAACTACTATATTCATCACAAGATTCTGATTGCCAGGGTACTATGCACAGTCTGAGCCAGGGCCCTGCAGCAAGGTTGCCTGTCTCTGCACCAAAGTGAGTAAGAATACCACTGGCCAACCACCCAGCTTCTCTCCCCTACAGTGGAGTAGAACTAAGGGTCAGGTGGTCTGGCACTGGGTAAAGAGTTATATCCACTCTAACATAGGAGAGAACTCTCTTCTACAACAACTCTTATGAAAGATTCCTCCAGCCTCTGCTTGAATGCCTCCTATGATAGGGAGCTCACCACCTTACAGGTTTCCAAATTCTGGGTCTCAATTCCTTCCTGCAAATACTTGTGCTACCTTTTACATTTAAAAAAGAATTTGTGCTCCCCCTTCCATTATCTCTTCAGAGACTATCAATGACAACTAGCATTGGGTGTCTCTGACATCCATGAGCTCTAAGCAGGTTCTCCTGATTTTAGCAAAACCTTAAGAACTCCTTGCCTTCCCTTCCCCACCTTCAAAACCACTGCTTTGCTCTAGGCCTTTTCTGTGAGCCTCAGCTCCATGTAGGATGCAGTGTGCTGGTGATTCTATTCTTGCTATCTACATTCTCCTTTATTCTTGCCCTTGCTTTAGTGCCCTTCCTCCAGCTTTGAACTCGTCCTTCTCCATCTAAGCTCATCTGCCGGCTCAGCTTGGCTGTGATGATCCACTTGCTTGTCAAGCTCGTCCCTTCTCCTTCTGCCAAGATCTTCCATGACCACACTGTCAGAATGTCATTCTCAAGAGCCTGTCACACCAGCTTGCTTCCATCTTCATGGCCCACTGCAGGACTGTGCCCTCCTCTTCTCTGTGCATTTTGGTTGTTACCTGACCAAGTCAAGAAGGCTCCCAACCCTCCCTCCAAGTCCCTGCACTCTGAGTCCCCCGTTCTTTGAAGTGGGGAGAGTGGATGAGTTTCCTAGGGCTGCCGTAACAAACTATCACCCACTCAGTGGCTTAAAACCACCAACACTTATCCTCTCACAGTTCTGGAGGCCTGAGAGTCTGAGATCAAGGTGTTGGCAGGGTCACACACTCTCAGAAGGCTCTAGGGAGGGACCTTTCCACACCTCTTCCTAGCTTCTGATATTTACAGGCAACCTTTGGCATTGTTGGCTTCAAGCTGCATCCCTCAACCCCTGCCTTCCTCTTCACAGGGCCTTTCCTGTATGTCTATGCCTGTGTCCAGGTTTCCTTCTTCATAGAAGGACATCTGTCTTTGAACTTAGGGCCCACCCTAATCCAGTGTGGCCTCATTTGAGGTTGATTTCATCTGTAAAGACCCTGTTTCCAAATACGGTCACTTTCACAGATTCCAAGTGGACAGGAAATGCAAGGGGCGGGGGGTTTTATTTTATTTGAAACTCCCTCACCCTCATCTTTGATTTCTCCCTCTCCCTTACCCCCATGACCTAGGATGCATTCAAGTTAGCCTGACTGCCCCTCCTTGACATCCTGTCATTTTGACCCCTCACCATCTAGACACCAGAGCCTTTGCATTTAGTGCAAATTCTGGGGCCAGAAGGAGTCCTGGTTTCCTTGCTTAGATGGAAAGACTGGAGAATGTTATTTCCCTTCTCTGGGCCTCAATGGCCTGAGCTGCAAAGTGGGATAACAATAGGACCTGCTTTATAGGTCTGATGAGATGACTAAGTGAATTATTCCTAAAAGCAGTGAAGAACAATGCTGGGTGCACAAGTATGGGAGTGAGGATGTTATCTGCATCATTTCAGGCCTCCATCACCTCTAGCAGAGACTCCTAGCCAGTTGCTTGCCCCAATACCCAGCACTCCAATCCATCTTCCAAACACAGACGTCACCATGTTTCTCCGTGCTGTCAAAATGTGTCCCAAAGCACATGAGTCTTTGCAGTAGAGCACATGGGCCTTTGGTAGGGTAGTCCTTGCCTGCTTACAGCCTCACCTCATTGCTTGTTATTCTGTGTGTGCAGGAGCACACACATATGGATGCCCACGCTGTAGGTACACACATGTACAAGTACACACATGCAAGTGTACATGTATGCCATTGTGCATTCATGCAGGTACACACATGTGTAAGTGTACACATGTGGGTGCACACTCACAGAGGTGCACCTGCACACATACACACAATCCTCAAGTCTCACTGAACAAACCACATCATTTGGGAAACCCCCAGATCTCCTGCCCATTGGCCCTTCCACAACTGCTACTCTCTCTGGGACTTTCCTGTGTCTGGGACCCCACAGACCTTTCCTACCTGGATGTCTGCCACTTCTCCCTGGGGATCCAGTGAGGCCCTGCCATCTCTAAGACACTAACCACCACTCCCAATCTTCAAGCCTTTGCCCCTCCAGTGGGGAGCTACTCCAAGACCAGGACCATGTCCTTTTCTGTACATCTCAAGACATCCTGTCTCTGGAGCACAGTACATGTGGGAAGGAATGAAGCATGTGTGAATAAATGATATTTATTCTCTAGACTCTAGACCCTGCAGACAATCCTGTGGCTTGAATTCCCCTATTTCCAATTGGACTTGATACCTGCCTGTCTTCACCAGGGCACTTGGGATCCTCTGCCAGGCCTCAGAGTCCCTTCCCAGCACCCCTGCTGTACTGAGTCTTTTTCTGCCTTCTTGGCCTCTTCAAACAGCCTCATCTTGCCCTGATCCCCAGTCTCTGCTGTTTTCTTTCTTTCCTAAGTTGGGATGCTCATAGGCTGTCTCTCTGGGATGCTGTTTGCACCCGTAATTGGATTATATGTGTGCACATGCTGTTTGGGGGTGCATTTGAGAAAATCTTCTCAGTACACACTTGTGGGGAGTTGTTCTCCAGCAGAACAGCCTCAAGGCTGGGAGGCAGCAAAGAGCCAGTAAGCACTCACCCCTCAGGAAATTGTCACCAGCCCCCTGAGAGCTGGTGCTCAACCCTCACCATCCCACCACCTGGGGCAACACCCAGGGCACCTCTCAGGGCTTGCCAGGGGCACCTGCACCCCTTGGGGCTCATTGCTGGCAGAGAAGGAGGAGTTGACAGGAGGAAGCCTCTCTCCTGGAGTATCACCATGAGAAAGGCTCCCCCTGGGCAGCTCAAAGGCCCAGCTGCAGACAGAGAGAGAGAAGGCCTTTGCATGCCCTGGGCTCAGGAGCCAATGTCCCCTCCTGGCAGAGAGGCTGCACTGGGTGACAAAATTACCATAGCCAAGGGCTCAGCTGGAAGGACTTTGTTATAATCAGTATTCCTCCCCTGGGCCCTTTTTTCTGGTGGCTGAGGAAAGCAGGACCACCTGTCTGCCTGCACTCACAGAGCCCAACTCTCAACAAGACCCAGCCGCACAGTCCTGACCTGACTCCTATCTGCCAGCTGGGGTCTCACAGAACCTCACGTTCACCATCCTTAGCTCCAGAGCTCCCAGTGCTTCTTCTGGATGGAAGGTACCCTCCTACCCAGCACCGTTCTTTGACATCCCTTTCTCCCCACTCCCCTTAATAATATCATTAAGAGTGGTCACTTCCACCTTCTGAAGTCCTCTTGTACTGTCTCCTCCTGCTGGGCCTCTGCCACACCAGCCTCTTGCACCGACTACTCCGAAGGCCCCTTAACTTGCCCTGCATTTCCTCTCTCCAAATCACAATAGGAGTACAAGGTCTGAAAGCCGATGCCAACTGGAAACTCAGGGTTTGTTGATCTTCCCTGGCAATACAATAATAGCATCTGTGGTTCGCTCACACTGAAGTCAGGTCTTGTCTTTCCATGGATTCTTATGGAGCTCAGGAAAAAACATGGGGATGTAACTTTGAGGGCTTCTGTCAGCACACACTCTCTTGCCTCCTAGGGGCAAGACACCCCTGTCTGTCTGTGTGTGTTGGGGGTGGGGGAGGCAGAGCTTTCCAGCCAGGCCTACTCTAAATCCTCTGTATAGGATTTACTTGCTTTTAACTCTTAAGCAATCCCCAGCCCCCTTTTACAGTTTTCACCCAATTCCAAGCTCCTAACCCTCATTCCCACATCTCTGGAAGCCCCACTTGTCCTCCCTGAGGAAGTCCATCTCCATCCTCCTGCCCCCAGCTTACAGGGTCATCACCTCTGTACGAGTGTCAGGTCCTGCTGCTATCACCCTAGCAGTGGACAGCCAGGCCTACCACAAGGCCTGGTGATTCTGCCCAGCTGTGTGCCCAGGGCTATTGCAGATGCCACATAGAGGAAGATGCCAGGACCTGGGCCTAACAGAAAGACTGCAAGTCCTCAGCCCAGTGTCCCAAGGGCAGCCCTGAGTTCTCTCTGCTGCTCCAACCCCCAGCCTCCCTCCATTCTGTATTCAAGGCCCGTTCACTGCTTTGATGAAACAGTAACCATTTTCTCGCTGCCCTGTGCTTCTGTCTGCATTATTCATGGGCTCCTCTCTCTGCTGCCAACAAGCACAGGCAGATCTGATGCCCCATTCAGAGAGGGAAAAAGTAAGAGGCCATAGTGAATGGTGTCCCCTCCCTGTCCCCCCAACCAGCCCTTTCTCTCCTGCCCTTTTCTTAAGTCTAGAGTGTTAAGAAGGTCTGTGATGCTCCCACACCTCTTGGGGTCACTGGGGCCCTTTGCTCATTTGCTGCTTCTCACCCAGCCCCACTGCCTGTTCCACAGGCCTTGCACTAGACAGGGTTCTGGAGAGCTGAGAGATGATCTTGGAAAAGCCTCTTCCAAGAGTGGATCCCAGTTTTCTCCCACCCTGCTCTGTCCAGCCCCCAATTCACAGCTTCGTTTGCCTCATAAGTAAGGCAGGTCTCCCAGGACCACGAGATCTGGGCATGACCTCTGGGTCATGTTCCTGGCCCCGTCATCCTGCTTTCTTCTTTCCCCACCTCAGGGCTGGTGACAGATCACCTTGGGCAGTCTGCAATGCTGGACCATGTTTGTTCCCATCCCTGGCCTTTCACCTGTAGGCCAGTTGCTTCTCCTGTGGTCAAGAAAGGAAGATAGGCTGAGACATTCACAGTGGGTGGATGCCAACCCTGCTCTCCTTTTACCTCCTAGTGTGATCTATGGCCTGCTCTCTTGACCAATCTTCCCCAGCCCATCTCTGGGTTTGCCCCTATCTCCCAGCCAAGCCCCGGGGGTCCCATGCATATGTCACAGTCCCCTCCCTGCAGCAAGGAAATGGGAGAAGTGGGAGCTGAGGTGCCACTGCCTCTGAGGCTCCCCAGAGGCCTGCCTCAGCTTCCCTGTTGCACACATGCAGAAGATTCTAGATGGGGCCCAGCTGTGCTAGTGGGGGCAAGGGGTTATGATCATGGAGTCACTGTGCTCTGTGGTGACCCTAAACATCACACTCATTCTGTAAACAGCTCTTTGAGGTGGGCGTTATTTATCACCTCTTCCGGGATAAACAGCTCAGAAAAGTTAAATGTGACCAAGGTCACACAGCAAGTAGAAGACAAGGTTCCATTTCTCTAGCTGCAAATCATCCCTTAGAAACATCTCCTGGCAAGGGGGAGTGGGCCCCACCCTGTCCCCATCTTCCCTTACCACCTTCCCAAGAGCTGGGGCCTAGAGAATCCATGCCCAACTGCCTAGGGATGCTCTAGCTGGGTATGCAGCAGCTCTGTCTGCTAATCAGCAGCACTGGTATCCAGGCAACCAGCCTCCCAGGCTTCAGATAAGCAGAAACAGCTGGAGCTTCTGAGGCTGGGAGCCGCAGAGGGAGGGGGAGAAACCAGCCAGCCCATCTCCATGCAGCCTTATTTTGTCCCTGTTATTCTCACATAGAAGACCTCAGCCTGAACTAGGGAGCAGTTTGTCTTTGCCATGGCCTCAGGGGACAGGTTTCCAGGGCTCTACTCAGCCGTGAGCCTGAGTTAGGGGGAAGTGACAGGACAACTGCTAATCCTCTTTCTTGAGCAAGGTCAAGGGCCCTGGGTCACTTGATAGACAGCAGTAGCTGAGGTTGACCTTTCAGGGCCTCCAAGCCAGCCTTGAGTATAGCTTCACTCAGCCCACTCCACACCCCAAAAGGGCAGGAGAAGAGGGATGCAACTAACAGCACTGTCAGACCAGCTAGGTCTGGCTCAGTCCCAGCTCTGCTGTTACAGGCTTGGCTGTGTCTTTCTGGGCCTTGGCTTCCTCCCCTGTAAAATGGAGGCAATGCCCACCCCAAAGGCTAGAGTTGGGAAATAGGGGAAGAAGGCAGGTAGCAGGGCTGGCTGGGTACCTGGCATTGCAGTTGCTGCTGCAGTGTCTTCCTCCCTCCTTCATTTTGGGCCTGCTCTGCAGGGCCTGGACATTGTTCCCACACAGGATCTTGTTCTCCCTGGGCTATTTCTGTCTCCTGTTCTAAAGGTCAGTGCCTTTCTCGGGATACAGCAGCTGCCACCTCTTGTCCATCTCTAGGTGGCCTCAGGGGATAGTGGTTATCCCCACGGCTTTCCTCATGGCCCTACCTCTACCCAGGGCGGACCCAGGCATGCCCACCTGCGCTGGTACAGGGCCCCCTGCCCCAGGGCTGCCTCTGAGCCTGGAACATGAGCAGTTTTGGACTGATACACTGGCCACATCAGTGGCCAGAATATCCCTGCTATCCCTTCAACAGTAGGATGACCAAGGTGAACGCTGGCTGCCTCAGTCTCTTCCCAGTTTCCATCTCCAGGCAAGGCCAGGCCCTCCATGAGGACGGATGAGCTTAAAGAACAGAATGGGAAAGGACAACATGTCCACCCAGGCAGGAAGTCACAACAGGGAATGTCAGTTACACTCATCACCTGTCCAGCTATAGTGGTCCACCCCCTATCAGTGGCCTTGAGGTCTGGGGTCTGTGACTGGGAGTTGGCAGGAGGTGATTACAGTGCACTAAAGGAGTCCCTTATAGCCAGCATTAGTGCAGAACTGTACCCCATATGTGAGGTGGGAGGAAGAGAAGAAGGTGACACTCACTGTCACCAAAGCCCAGAGCAGAACTTTCTTTGGTCTGGCAGTGACTAAAGCAGAGCCCAAAAGAAAAGACCCCAGAACACTCATGACAGTGAGCACAGGCACCCTGGCAGATGTGGCTGCATAGGCTGACCCTACAGAGCAGCTTCTTCTCCTGCAGCCTCCAAAAGTTCCCTCAGACAGAAGGGACTCCAGTCGTTCCCATTTTACAGAGGAAGAAACCAAGGCAGAAGGTCACTAAATCAAGCTCCGGAGATCATGCCCATTCTCTGTCCCCAGATCAGCTGCTCCTGTTATTCATTTCAGCCCAGGAGTTCCTTCAAGAGACTGGCAGTATGTCCTGACCCAGGGACAAAGGGTGGAGGGCCATCCCTCCTGCCCAGCCTACAGGAGGAAGGAAAGGTGAGAAGAACGGCAGGCCACCTAAGGCCGGGGCTGGGGACAGTGGACAATAACCCCTCGAGGGCTGAGGTTTCTCCAACTCTCTCCATTTCCCCAGCTTAAATGTAGAAAGGAGGAAAAGGCAGCCTCCAGGTTGGGGTGGGGGTTGGGATGGAAAGAGAGAGGGAGCAGCTCCCACCACTTCCAAAGCCCAGCCCTGTCTCCCCCCATTCTTCCCCACTCCACCCATCTCTGCTGCAGATGCAGAATTTCCAGAGGGAAACAAAGACTCAAAAGCATGATAAACAGAAGTGAAGGGGGCTTGGGAGGAGCATTCCAGAGCTAAAAATACCAGGGTCAGCTGGCTGGAGAGCAGGGGCCCCAGCCCTTCCCATCCCCCCCACAAAGACACCCAGCCATTCCCCTCCTTCTCCCAGCTCTCAGCTGGGCCCCAATCTGAGAAGTCTGGGAGGTGATCTGCAATGAACACACTCAATGTCCCCCCAACCACCACAGTTAGGGAAGATGGGGAGCCCACCTCAGTTAGCCCCTCTCCTCCACGGCACCTTGACTTGACGCTCCAGCCGGCCCCCAGTAGTTTTACAAAATGTATGTTTCCAGTCCTTTCAGCAAAGGCAGGGAGCCTTGAGACCAAGACCCTGCCCTCCCCGACCTGTAAGCAATTCTGCTCCTTTGGATGGAGAGTAGGGAGGGCATGGGAGAAAAAGAACGTTCCAGGAGAAAACTCATTATGGAGTTACCTACTATGAGCTAAACTGTGCTAGACTGGTCCTGTCATCTCATTCTTATGGAATATACTTGCTATTCTATCCCCACCTTCCAGTTGTGAGCACCAAGGCTCAGATGCAAAGAAAGAACCAAAGTCATCAGAGGCAGCCCAAGCAGGAACAGTGTCCCTGTGACCTGGGGTTGCCTCCCAGGGGCAGAGTTGAGCTACAAGGCAGCTGCTTTGCTTGGAAGGATCCATTACAGCAGCTGAGACCAGTCCTGGAATGAAGCAGCCATCCTGCCAGAGTTCAGAGCCTTCTGGAAATGTTAACCAGTCCCACGCCCACAGCTTTTCCCTGAGGATCTCAAAGGCAGGGTTCTTTCCACTTGGTGGCAGTTGTTGGTCAGGTGAGCAGTGCTTGGATGCAGTGCTCCTCACACCTTGAGTGACCAGCCTTTGAGCAGAGATGTGCCAGGGGACCACACTGGTTCCAGTAGTCCGAGAGTTATGACACCAGGACACACTTTGCTGAAAATTCTGGAGGTCCTGGCTGGGCTCCGGCAGCATCAGCTGGGCCCCCACTGCGCCACCCATGCTGGGGTTTGCCCTTCGCTGGCTATGGCAAGAGGACTTGCTAAGACTGTGGAGCCCAGAGCCCAGGGCAGGCATGGGAGAGACTTAGCTGTCTTCAGCCTGCAGAGGGGTTTTTGTTGAGGGTAGGGCGGGGTACACAGAAAGTGCTGTTGCCGTGAGATGCAGGGAAAAGGGAGGTTCAGAATCACAGGATTCCACCTCCTTGTTGTCTGGCTCCTTGCCTGGAGATGCCTCAGTATCCTCCCAAACTCTGGTTGATTACACCTAATGACCAGAGACTCATCTCTGTGAGACTGGTCAGTGGCAAGCAGACCTTGATGACTCCTGTGGTGTGTGAGGCAAACGTGATAACCACTACACTACGGAAACAACTCCTGTGGTATGGAGCTGGAGTCTCCACCTTGCCCCTGTGCCTCCCACCACCCAGTTCTGCCCTCTGGACCACAAAGCCACCTCTCTTTCTGCAGAAAGTCCTCTCATGGGTCAAGGAATTTCTCAGATGGATCCAGGCAGTCTTTCAAACACTGGAATCGGGGACAGCATAGAAAGAATGAGGCAATTCAAAACCATCCCAAATGAATTGCTGATAACTGTGACTCAAGCTCAGCTCCCGTGACACTGTGCCTTAGACACCTGCGACCAAGGCGCTATTCACACCGGCTCTTTATTTAGCAGGAGCGGGAGGCTTACTGCCCAGTCTATGAGGGAAGCTCTCTTGGGTCCAGTAGACAAGGGGCTTTCTTTGGCAGTGTGGACATTGCATTGCTTATCAGGTTTGCTGGCTTCCTCCAGTCAGAAATCCAGGTTCATCCTACTCACCACATCCCAGCCTGTGACATGTCCTCTTGATCCCACCCCATCCAGGTCTCATTTCCACTCACTTTTCTCCATCCACTCTAACCTGTCTAAATCCCTGATCTCTCACCTCCTACCTACTATCTACTTCTAGCTACCCACCTCACTTCCACTTCTCCTCCCACCCCACCCCACCCCACCCCCGCCTCCAAAAGGCCAGAGCATTATCACATCGTGTCATTAATACGAGCAACTCTTACAATGGTTGTCCAATGCACTTCCAATGAAAACCAGACTCCACCCGATGGGATATAAGGCCCTTCCACATCCAGCCCTGCCCACCTCCCTGCCCTCTGGCCTTGCAAGACCAGGCCAGGCAATTTCCTGCCTCCGGGCCTTTGCACTGGCTGCTCTCTTCCTGGACTGTCATTCCATTAGCGCTCATTCTCAACCTTCAGGGATCAGCTGCAATGACATCTTCTCTGTTACAGGCCCTTTTCTTTCATTGATATCACTTACAATGTAGTTATTCATTCACTCGTTCATTTATGCCATTGTCTGTCTATCACACTAAAATATGAACCACCTGAGAACAGGGACTCTGTTGTCTTGCCCCCTGGACATGCTGCATCCTGCACAGGGCCTGGCACCTATAGGCACACAGGGAGGATTTGCCAGACGATGAAGAGTACTCTTGCCCTTGTCCAGGCTACAGAAGGATTTGGGACCCCCTGGACTCCTTCAGAAGAGGAATGCATTTAAGGAAATGGCCTGTTCCAGGGGGTTACCTGTTCCCTCATTGCTTATTAATTCCTCTAGCAAAACCCGAGCACTTTCTAACAGCCTGTGACTGTTCCAGAGACTAAAATTTTAGGGGTGAACAATACTGACAAAGTCCCTGCTTTTGTAAGCATTGATGAGAAACAGGGGAACACACACAGGTGACAGGTGACAGTGAGAGATCTGCTAGAGAAGAAAGCCAGGAGGTCTAGGGCTTATGAACAAAAGGCAGGACTGAACACAGAGGGTAACCAAGCTCAAGGGGTATGTGTGGGGACACATGAGAGTCCGGTGGACATCTTAGTCTTAGCAGGGTGCATCCCAGGCTCCTGTTCATCCTGGAAGTTGATATGTAAGTATTTGGGTAGAGCACAGTTATCTCTTACTGGCTTCATACTCTTTCTTCTCTCTCCTCATTTCACTTATTCAGTCATCAAATTTGCATATCCCTACACCTGGTCCAAGTCACTGTTGGCTCAGTGATGGGGAAGAAATGGGAAGGAGAAGAAAATGGGAAGAGAAATGGGATAAGGAAGTTCTCTCCTCAGGCTGGTTCAAATCTCCATTTTTTTATTTCAGGGGCATAGGCTCCACTTACCTGCTGTCCAGGTCAAAGCCCTGGGAGGTGTCCTGGCCTGGTGCCACTCATAATCCTTTCTTCTAACCATGCACCAGAAGTCACTTATACCTCTTCCATGCTCCCATCTCCTCCCATCTCCTGCCATCACCTTAGGTCCCCAGCCTCTCCGAGCCACGCATACCCACCCTCCGTGGGTCCTCTGTAGGTACAGCCACCTTTATTTAACACACACAAACATTGGCCTTATAGTTTCCCACTCAAGACCTCTGAGACTGTCCCTGCCTGTCTGGCTCTATGGCATGGCAGACTTTCCTCCCCTCTGGACCAGATGAAATGCCTGCTTCAGAGGCTCTGGTGGCACCTACATGTTTCCAATCTCCCTGTTCCCTGTTTCTTCCCCCCACACCACCTTCTTACCCCCAGCAAAGAGCAGCAAGGTGCCTAGGACACAGTGTCACTGCCTGGTGACACACTGGGCCAACACAACCCATCAGATTTTTCCTCCTTATTGAGCTGGGTAACTATGTGGTGGCAGACAAGGCCCCATGACAGAGCCAGCTAGCGCCAGGACCCAGGCACAGCTGGGGTTGCCATGGAAACTGCTAGCAGCTCAGTGCCTCGCAGGGCCTGGCCTTTTCACTCTGCCCTTTTGGCAGGTTTCCTCAGCCACCCCAAATCCATTCACCAGGCCAGCCAGGCCCTCTCCCTATCCCCTCCCTGCCCTTCTGTCCTCTTTGGCCAGCACTTCCTCCTCCACCTCTTCCTTCCTCTCTTCTTCCTCCCCTCTGCTCCTCCCAGCCCCCCTCTCTTCTGCAGCCTTTGCCAAAGCTCAGGGAGGGGCACTGGGCCAAGCAAGGACTGGATTTTCAATTCTAAGCCGATTTCCCCTCCACAGGCAGCAAGCCCTTTCATGCATTTTCCCCTATTATCATAAACGCAGGAACTTGCATTAGGATGAATGAGCAGAAACTCCTGCCTTTGTCAGAGCCTTGGCAGAACGCCAGCCACAGAATGACCTAAAACACTCAGAATTAAATGGAACTGGAGAGGGGGTGGAGACAGATCCCTGTCGGGTGAGAAACGGGAAGGGGGTGGCCCTTCATCGCTAATTATAATAATAGAGTATTCCCCATTGTGTCCAGGCACTGTGCTAAGCCCTTTGCACAGATTTTCATTAAATCCCACAGAACTGTGACATTCTATTCACTCCCTCCACCATTTTCATAGATGATGAAATGAGGATCAGAGATATCAAGGAACAAGTCCCAGATCACCCAGCAAATGAGCAATGGAATGGGTTTTAAATCTTTCAGACTGTTCTGTGTTTTTTTGTTTTGTTTTTCTCTTTTCTTTTACTGGTAGTTCTGGGATTTGAACTCGGGGCCTCACACTTGCTAGGCAGGTGCTCTACCACATGAGCCATGTCCCCAGTCCTGAATCTTTCAGACTCTGGATCCTGAACTACAGCTTCAAGGCCATCCTCCCAAGGGCTGGTTCATGGCTCCACAGCCAGTTCCCATTACCCAGACCCTCTGTCATCTCCTCCCTTACCCTACACTCCTGCCTCCCTTCAACATTGCTCCCTCTTGCCATCTTCAGTGCACTTTTGCAAACCAGACTTGCTGTCCCAAATGAGGTGTAGGAAGGAGAGCCCCATGCAGAGGCAAGAGGGGCCCCCACAACCAGCCAAGATGTGTTGATGCTACCTGGAGGGCAGAGACCCACATGTCACATGTTTGTCTTTTGTGCTACAGAGCTAGCGCCCAGGAAATGTTTATCAGGTGCAAACTTCTCCCTCTTCCACCTTTCCTAAACCTAAGGAACCTGACCTTTAAGGACTGTGGCATGGAGCTCTCTTGCTCTTTGGCTTTTGGTTGGATTCAGCC